TGTCACTCCCAGGATAGTAAACCCACTGACATGTCACTCCCAGGATAGTAAACCCACTGACATGTCACTCCCAGGATAGTAAACCCACTGACATGGTTAGGCTTTGGTGTCAACTTGGCTAGGCCAGGGGTTTCAGAGGTTTAGCAGTTGGGATGTGCTTATTCCCATAGCAGTGAAACCTGATACAGGCAGAGTTAACTATCTTGAGTGGCTATGAGTAGCCAATCAATTGAAAGGCTAACTAAGGCTGAGAGTGAAGGGACCTACTGATCTGAAGTGCAGGGAAGTGTGCGTGAACCCCAAAACTTGCACCCATGCCACCTAACCTGGATGGCTAGTTGACCAGAACTTGAACCAAGGAAGATCAAAATGACTGATACTGAGAACTAGTACAAACTGCTGCAACTTGACAAAGTAGACTTTTGCTTATGGTTGCAGTTGCTCAAAATTCTGGAAGGATTTTCAGAATGGAAGGATTCTTCCTATCAAGGACCAATCTTGTCTCCTCAGTGCACTGGATTGACAGGGACAAGAAAATTAGACATTGGCTATTAAAAATGGGGAGTGGGGGAGCTACAAAGGCACCAAGTGGCTGGTTTACAAGCTTTCAAGAGTGTGCTTAGTTGCAGAATGAGGGGGTAAGGTAGAATCCCCACTGAATAGTTTCCCTCTTTCCCAGATGGAGCTGGTGAAAGCGGATGGGAAACTGCGGGGATGGAATTTTATGATTCAATTGTGAATAATTGTTAGCAGGATTAAATGCGATCGTCACAACTATAATGGTAACTGTGTAACTGAAAGGAGGGAGTAAGTAATCTTTCATTTCAAGAACAGACGATCCCAGGACCATCAAGAAGGAAGAGCAAGAGTGGAGCCTGGGATCCCTACACAGAGAAGCAGTGACAGTAGACAGTGGCTGTGTGCCTTCCAGGAGGACGCTGGTTGGCAAATGTGCCCTTTGGACATTTAAATAAATACATATTTTTTTTTAATTTGTAAGTGTACATCAAATATTTTTGCCTTGTTCACTTGTGAAATGTAAGATGTAAATGGGGAGCCACAGGGAGGAAGTCGGGTAAATGCTGTTGCAGGAAGGGGACTGTAATCATTCATACCACACAGAATGTATGGCTTACTGACGGTAGAGCTGATGATCTTGACCTTCACCCAATTCACAATAAAGAGTTTTTTAAAAAAGCAGTGAGGGGACATAAGTACACAACCAGAATGAGAAAGGAGGTAAGCCCCCACAGATTTGACTATGTCTGGCAGTAACAGCTGGACACCAGTGAACCTAAAATAAAATAAATACTTGAGTAAAAAGAGAAAACTCATCAAAAACAACTCCAGAAGTCAGAAAGCAAAGTGGATCCACAAGTACCTAAGAAAATAAAAAGATGAATTTATAAAATCTAAGCCTTCAAAAGAACACAGGGCCCTAGTGCTTCACCCTTAGTTCTACGACACCAATGCGCACCAGGTGTTTCCAGGGGTTCCAAGTGCTCCTGGGCATGGCGACGTCCTCCAAGGCAGGCCTAACCCTACTGCCAACCTCAGAGAGCAGCACAGACACACAACACCAATACAGATGGGAACTTGCTTGAGGAAAGGCTGGAAATCAGAATCAGGCAATGTTTTGAAAGGTTGAATCAAATACATTGTGGAAAGCCATACTATTTAATCATATTACAGACAGCTGACAAAACTGTGTGTCCGGTCCTTATTAGACTCTGTAGGGAAGACAAAGCAGTCCTAGAGACCTGACTGAGTTTCTCGAGACACCGCTCAGTGTCGTAGCTGAAGGGACAACGCAGGCCCTGGGAACAGAGGAAGGATGGATGTGCTTATGGGAGCCTGCACTGCTTCCCTGTGAGTCTCTGATGCCTGAGGAACAGTCAATGAGTCACCTTCTCATTCATTTAGTCCAGCCTAAGTGCTATATAAGACCCCAGAATCATTTGGTCTGGGCCTGCCCAGGCAATTGCAGTTCCAGCCATCCTATTCAGGAGGAGTTACATTAAACGTTTGACAAAATACAGCAGGTTAAGTTTTAAGTTGATAATTTTGTATGGCCCACAAATAATGGTATAAATTTTGGCAGAACAAAAGGTTCCCCACCCCTGATTTAAACAAAGGATTTACAGCTTACCTCTCTGATTCTCTTGATTTGAATGTAATGTGACCGTCCCCAGTCAAGCTCATCCTTTAAAGACACAGAAGTCAAATAATCAATAAAACTGTAATAGATCAGCGTTCTGTTAGGCTGCTGTAACACATCCTTGGTCTCCTATCTCACCCAGAAGCCTGAGATGACTAGAAGTGAATAGAGATCCGCGGGTTTCTACAACATTCTACTCAAATGGGCGTGTGGTCCTTCCCTCCAGGGTGTCAGGAGGTGTAGGGCTACACAGGAATGAATTCCTGTCTCCTGGGCTACAGGCAGACACACCTGGCTTGTCCTGTGACAAGGTGTCTGTAGGACACACACTAGGAGGGCACAGCCAGCTCCTGGAAAAGGCTGCAGGAAATGGGGAGAGGAACACTGCCAATTTAAACACATGGACCCATCAATTCTTTTGAACTCAATCAGTTTAGAAGGATACTTTCTGAAATAATTTCCATAAAAATGCAAACACCAATGAAAAGCTGGCCAGAAAGAAAAGAAAGTGGAGGCCAATGGCCTAAGTCTCCTTTAAGTCTGCTAAATGTAGCAGGAATAACCCAAGTAAAGGACTCAGGGTCTTAGTTTTGACCCAGCGTGTCCCTGCGGTACCAAGCACTCATGTCTCAAGAGGCTGCTGACACCTGGGAAGGAAAAGTCCGAAGCTCCACATCTGTGCCAAAGCAGCCCACCAACACGCAACCGGAGGCTGGCTGACAGGAGGTAGGCCTGCCAACCCACCCCACGGGGGCAAGGCCAGAAGAGTTCTGGGCATCTGCTCACTCAAGGTGTCTTCAGGGATACACAGGAAGTGGAAACCTACCTTGGGGTGGCGCAGCTCTCCGCTCTGCCTGCAAGCCTGCCAAGTCTAAACACAAACAACCCACGTTCAAAACGCTGCAGGGGGCTAACTGAAGTATTAAAAATAAGAACGTCAACAAATACATTTGAACTACAGAAAATTGACAGATTAAACATTTCCGTCAACTTCCCAAAATGCACCGCAAATCATTTCACGCAGAGCCATTTCTCTTCCTGCCCAGAGACTGTGGAAGGGGAATGTACTGACCCCCTGCGCTAGCTGCTTTCGCAGGTGGTACGACAGAAAACTCACTTTAAAGGCCTCCACAAGGGCAATGCAGTCGCTCTTACTGTCACCTGAGAAATTCACTTTGTTCCTACAGAAAGAAAATACACAGGTCACCTGGCACCATTAAAATGAAATGCCATTTAAAAGCACGAATCTTAAATACCTATATCCATCCAGATGTTGTCGAAAAGGCATCGCGAAAAAGTTCTTCAGCGAGAGTGCGGCCGCTGACAGGAGAGAACACAAGGGGCACTGAGGTCAGAGTGGTCCCCGGGCCTCGGGCAGCTCTGTGCTTCCACACTCACCTATGATGAGACACTCATCCAGACAGCCAAACACGTGCCCAAGGACGATGAGTTTACCAAGCTGATGGTGGACAGGGAGCTGTGCCAAGACCCTTCCCAGGAAGGTCAGCTCGCCATCATGGGGGTTCTCGTCCACTCTCTGGCTGCTGACTGCCAGGGCGCCAACCTTTGAGAATACAAAGACAGCCAGTACTGCTAGCAGGCACCATCACGCTCTAGCTTGTTTGCTTTTAATTTGGGGGGTTGGGGGGGGTGGGGAGGCAAAACAGGAACTGAAAACCCAATTAGGATGAATAAAGTTGTAAAAGGTATCTAAGTTCATTCATGAATGGCTGATGCTACCAAAAAATCACTTTAATTTGCACTTTGGAACCCAAGGCACATTTTACCATTTTTTCAAATAAGTATGATCCTGGACAGTAACACTCAAAAAAGTCTACGTAACTCTAACTTAACAAAAACAGCACACACAGTAGTGAATAAGGAACACTACTACCAGACTGGAGTGGTCTCTCGCCACGAAAAGCTCTTCAACAACCTCCTAAACCTGACAAAGTACATTTCACAGACAGTAAGTAGGTGCCACGTTGAAAGCCCAATAGCAGAGATGTGCTGCCTTTGGGGACCGGAAGCAGAACAGCCCCAGCCCTGACCAGCAGTCTGCACAAGAAGGCACACCTTGCACTGAGGTACATCCGAGAGGGGTGAGGTCGGGGAGTCCAGAACAGGAAGATGAGAGTGAGGGTGGGGTGAGGAGCAGGCCTCGAGGGGCCGTGAGGAGAAGAGAGCTCCAGCTGCAATGCCATCTCTTGCCCACAGCACACAATCGGGAGGAGAAACAGACAACAAAGGTGGTCTACAGAACAAGTGTAACTCACAAGAACATTTCGGTTGGTCTCTCCCTCTCCGGAGGAAAGAAAACTGAAGAAACATGAAAAGAATCCGTCCAATGGGCGGACGGGCCACATGACCATCAGCCTCCATGACTCTGAGACGGGAAGAACCGGATGGTGCCCAGCTACCACCACCAGCTGCTCTGACAGGGAGCCCGTTAGAGTTCTGAATAAAGAACAAGGAAAATGCAGAACAAACCACAAATTCATAGAAAAGGCCACATTTACTGAACAATGAAATCCAATTTCACTGCCATCAGGATGGGAGTCCAGGTAGGGCGCTGTACGTTCAGCACTGGACTCAACCCCACCAGCTGCTTCTGGGAAACCCTGTACAGGGTCGCTGTGAGTCCCAACCAACTCAACTGCACTTACCAACACCACCAGAACAGTTATCATAAAACCAAAACCAGAAATTAGCAAACGTTGGGGAGGCGTGAGGGAACCAGAACCCTGTTGCAAAATGGTACAAGCCGTTACAGAAACAGTACGCCAGTGCCTCAAAAAGTAACAAGGAAACAAGAGTCTATTCCCACCTCCCCACTATGTGCCCCAAAGATCTGAAAGCAGACTCAGAGACTTGTACATCAAAGGCCATTCACAGTGCTATTCACAACAGCCCAAATGTCCATCAACAGATGAGTGGATGAACACAATATGGTCCACCCACACAGTGTAACACTACTTAGCCAGTAGGAGACCAGATGCATGCTACATTATGGATGGAGCTGGAAGACACCATGCTGAGTGAAACACGTCAATCACCAAAGGACAAATATTACATGCCTTCATTTATACAAAAAGATCAAAGGCAAATGTAGAGATAGCCAAGTTCATTAGCAGTTAGCGGGGCAGGAGGGAGGCAGGAAGGGGGATGGCAGTGACGGAAACATCACACTGACGAAGGGCAGCGCAGGGCTGAGCAGTCAACGACTGTCAGAGTTCTACACGTGTAACTGGCAAAAAACCAAGGCTGCTTATGTACAGTCCAACACCTCATGAAATATGGTCCCTTGTTTTGGAGGTCGGGTCCTAATTTTAAGGGACACCCCAGTTAATTGACCTAATAACATGCTTAGTGCGTCTCTTCTACCTTTTAGTTCACTGAGTAATGGCTAGGGTCTTCAAAGATTGCAAATGGCCATCCAGGGCACAACAACTGGTCTTTATTTGCATGCATTAACAGTCAGGAATAGGAGAAGGATATGGAGTGTGTGTAAAATTCGTCTCCGTGATCAACTGTATCCTTTGCCACAAGACCAGAAGAACTGGATGGTGACCAGTTACCATTAGTAACTATTTTGAACAACTATTCTGAAAGAATTCGGATAAAAGAGGGGAAATACAGAACAAAACTTCCAAGGCTCATGGATTCTAGACTTGGATGAACCCCTGGAACTACTGCCCTAAGATCATCTGTAAATGTAGAAGAAAAAAAAATTACTCTGAAATTTTCTTCAAATAAACAATAGTTTAGCTTTAATAATAAAAGTTGTTCTTTAAGAACTAGCTACACGAGATCAAAGTTGGAGAGGCACCTTAGGGAAGCACTGGACTGATGCCATGAGGGAGGGACAACTCAGAAAGGAGGATGTGAAGGCTGCACAACTCCAAGAACTAACAGTGCGTGTGCAAGCCGCTGTGTCCAGTCCCCAGAACAGCAAAATTAAAAGGAGCCTGCAGGGAACCTGGGGTCAATAACCAGTCAGTACATGTGCTTCCAAGCAAATGCGGACTGTTTACAATAGTCAATTACCTTAAACATACCCGGATTACAAAATTAGGTCCCCTCCCCACAAAAAGTTAAGCTACCTCCTCCCAACACCAGAATATAGCAGACAACCGTACCTCCTTCAGCAGAAGGATGGTGCGTTCGATATCCCCCAGACTAGGCGGAGACAGGGCAGTGGCCAGCAAAGCTCTTGGCTCGCCCATGTCAAGTAATTTCACTTTCAATACTGTGCTTCCTAACGGACAGCGCTGAAATGAAACACATACAAATTTACAAATACACGAACTACATCAATTTACCTATTCATAGAACTAGTGCTGTTAGCAAGAGGAGACCAGAAAGAAAAGGAACGAGAGGGAGCGAGTGGAAGAAGAGAGAAAGAGAGCAAAAGAGAATGAGTTGAGAGAGATGAGGAGAGAGAAACAGAGAATGGGAAAGAAAAGAAATAACAAGGAAACGAATGAGAAGGAGAAAGAAGCGACAGAAGAAAGAGGTGAGAAACAAGAGAGTGAAAAAAGATGGGGCTAAAAAAAAAACAGACGAGTGAGAAGGGAGGAAGAGAAGGTCAAGCAAAAAGCCACTGGACACTGACAGAGGCAGCAGCATTCAGGACAACCGTGTCCTCACAGAGCCAGCAGACATCAGGACGCATCACTTCCTGACATCAAATGTTCACACTGCAGAGCACCCATCAGGGGCAAGCACGGGCATGACTACAGGTGGGCTACACAGCTGTCATGACTTCCCTGGAACCCAAACTATCCACCACTCAGCATCCCAGTCCTCCAACTGCTCAGTACCGTTCATCTATGAAACACGAATGCATTACCAGCATCTCGGGGATGACGTGGTCCGGGATGGCACTGTCCCAGAAGTCCCTGTGCACCAGCCTGTAGCAGTAGCCCTTAGACACTCGCCCCGCGCGGCCTTCAGTGAGAGGAGAGCAGACAGAGTTTGGCATTCGGTCCTTGCACATCAATATAAACATGTGTCTACTTAGGAGACTCATTAACAACCTGCGATATGCTTGCTGAAAGTGAAGAGGACTTAAAATACTTACTGAAGCAGATCAAAAACCACAGCCTTCGGTATGGATTACATCTCAGTGTAAAGAAAACAAAAATCCTCACCACTGGACCAATAAACAGCATTCTTATCAACGGAGAAAAGATTGAAGTTGTCAAGGACTTCATTCTTCTTGGATCAACTATCAACACTCATGGAAGCAGCAGTCAAAAAATCAAAGGACGTATTGCATTCGGCAAATCTGCTGCACAGGAACTTTTTAAAGTGTTGAAGAGCAAAGATGTCAGCTTGAGGACTAAGGTGCGCCTGACCCAAGCCATGGTATTTTCAATAACCTCATATGCATGCGAAAGCTGGACAGTGAATAAGGAAGCCCGTAGAAGAATTGATGCTTTTGAGTTATGGTGTTGGGAGGAGAATATTGAAAGTGTCATGGGCTGCCAAATGAACCAACAGATCTGTGTTGGAAGAAGTGCAGCCAGAGTGCTCCTTGATGGCCAGAATGGCCAAACTTCGTCTCTCATACTTCAAACATACTATCAGGAGGGACCAGTTGCTGGAGAAGGATATCATGTTTGGTAAGGTGGAGGCTCAGAGAAAAAGAGGAAGACCCCCAGTGAGATGGATTGGCCAAGTGGCAGCATCAATGGGCTCAAGCGTGGCAACAATTGTGAGGCTGGCCCAGGATCGGGCAGGGTTTCGTTCTGTTGTGCATAGGGTTGCTATGAGTCGGTACCGACTCCATGGCACTTAACAACAACAACAATCACACGGGATCAAATTGACAACCGCAACTCGAAAGGTTAACCAGGAAACTTAGGGACAGTGAGTTGCTGTGAGGAATGGAGGAACAAGCTGGAAAGAGGGAGAGAATGGTTGTACAGCTTGGAGAAAGTAATCACTGTCACTGAATTGTGCAGGGAGGAATTGCTGCATCAGTGTATGTTCTGCTGGGCATATTTTCAACAACAACCATAAAATATTACAAATTACTACACAAAAATTGTTGGGAAACTTCCCATTTGATCTTGTCACCAAAGAGCTACAAATCCTCTGAGCAGTATGTCTTTATGTCGCTTTACACCTCATGCACATAAGAGGGATGGACATAAGGGTCCCTGCTGACAGATGGTGCCACACTCACACCTGCAGCATTGCACGGCCAGCAGCACATGTCTGACGTCACGGCTCAGCACTCTTCATCCGCCAGCGTGGCAAAGTGGCAATCAATGGGCTCAAGCATGACAACAACAATAGTGAGGCTGACCCAGGACCAGGCAGTGTTTCGTTCTGTTGTGCACAGGGTCGCCGTAAGTCAGTACCAACTTGATGATACCTAACAACAACTTAGGAGGAAGTATCAGTGCAGAACAGCCTTCGTTACTGTCTCCAGGCCAGGTCCCAGAGCACCCAACAACGAGAACTGTGAGCACGGCAGTATCGGCAGGGAGAGAGAGCTCCAGGGACTCTTCGTTTACAACTTCCTTTCCAGGAAAATTTGACCATAAATATTTTTCTAGTTAATTCTGAACAAACAGAAAGGTAGACAAAATATCCTATTCCTGTAATTCTAAAACGGACCCAAAGATTACCACTTTCCTATTCTGTATAGTTATTTCCTGTCATTATTTTAAGCATAGTTTTTTTGAATTTGGGGGACAGAGGGAAGTTAAAACATTGCTGTTGTTGTCTGCCTTTGAGTAGGTTCCGATGCATAGCAGCCCTGTATGAAGTTTCCAAGGCATGACTGGTGGGTTTGAACCACCACCTTGTGGTTGGTTAGCAGTCATTGCTTGTCCTCCATCATCACGCCACAGGTGAGATGATTATACAGATTCAGTTTTATATCCTCTTTCCACCTAGCCTTTGATTACTCAGTATAAGGTTTCCCCACACTCTGAGACACTCTTTCTAACCATAAGTTCATGGCTTTTAATCATCCTTTTAGCCCTCCCAGGAGTCACGCGGCACTTCCTGCAAGAGGCCAAGCAGGTGCGATTCCCTGCTCTCAGTATTCACTGAGGGCACTGAGCTCACTGAGCTATCACTCTACAGGTAAGCACACTCCTACAGCATTGTTGCTTCCAGTGGTTTCTGAATGGGGTAGATGCATGACCCCACTGTTCAATAGGGATGGCCGCTCTCCTGCTCTCCCAGCCCGAGAAGCTGCCTCAGGAGACTAAGCCCAGAACAAGCAGAGCTGGGCAGAGAGGCCTTCAGGGGAGCATCAAAGGAGCGCTCCCACCGTTCCCCATCATAAATAAGGAACTGTGGGACTCAGAGCCCACAGGCCCACCCACCAGGGACAGACGGGAATTCTGACACTGGTTCCTACAGGGAAAGTGTCCAGAGCAGGAGAGATATCGGGAAAACAGCCGCAGACAGAGTGCGTCACCACCACCCTCGACAGTGCCTCACCTTTCCTCTGATCGCAGCTGGTCTTTGACGCCCAGCTCAACCGCAGACTCTGGTAATTTGTATCTTCATCACAGATGAGCGTTCTGGTCAAGCAGAAATCGATAACTGCCATTGAAAAAGGAACATAAGCATCGTGCAGGCAGCAAGTGTGGCACAGAGAGGTACCGTACTGTGCAGGGAACAGGCAGCCTCGGGGAGGGGGCAGACACAAGCACGAGAAACCCAGTGCCCAGGCCCGCCTCTTGCTCAGGACTGTGGGGAGCGGGCCTGCCATGGTGGAGCCTCTCGGGGACACAGCCTGCTCCTCTGCTCACCTCACTCGTCACCGTGACTGGCCTCTTCGCTGTACTGACCACACTGACCCACTCTTGTTTTATGGGCATTGTACTTTGTTCTTTCCCCCACCTCACTCCTGGGCTCCCTCTCTTGTCTCCTCAGGAGCAGTGCAGACATCAGAGCTGGTCTGTCTCACTCGCCCTCCCCTAAGACCCCTGCCCTGTACTCCCCAACTTGTTCTTGTTTCCTCATCATGTTATTTATCTTTAGCGTCATCCACAAGGCCCTCTCCTATTGTTGGTGGCTTTGCGGATTGCTACACCCCCAGCACCTTGAGCATCTCTGGCACGGAGGCAAAAGCACTGTCCACTCTGGCCCAGCCCACAGGCTGCCTGGCTGCACCTCTGCAGGCACACCCAGGCCTCCGCTGAAGCACACTCTTTCCCCATCCCACCTCCTCCCGCACTGATGCTCCAGGTGTGAACAGTCCGTCTGTCTCTCCCACAGCACCGTGGCTATCAGTCCGTCCGTCTCTCCCACGGCACCGTGGCTATCAGTCCGTCCGTCTCTCCCACGGCACCGTGGCTAT